CCCCAAAACCCCAAAACCCCAAAACCCCAAAACCCCGTAGCGATTGATCAGATAAATACAGATAAAATAAAATAAGAAGTTTGGGGGTGATGATGTTGTTGTTTTTGAAATTAAGTTGTTTGTTAAGGAATATCACAGGCATAGAGAGGGTATTCCTTATTCAACTAAGAGAATTAAACTGCAACTGATAAGCATCAGTTTTGGCAGATGTATAGAGTTAACATGAACAGGTTCAATGTGAAGAAGCTCCATCTCAGAGCTCCCTCTCCAACTCTTTTCAGATACTAAAGTTGAACAACAATAAAAATCTTCTTGTTTTCCATTCTAACTTTTTTTGATTTGCTTCTTATCAGTTCTCTGATGATCTTGCATGCTTGATCGTGCTCTTAAGCTAATAATTGCTGCTAGTACTATTACCTCTTCAAATTTTCCTTTGAATTAGTAGCAATATCCACTTGGGATTATGTTTACTTAGTTTGTAAGTTATTAGTTGAAGTGGGTTGAACATTGCTTTGCAAATTATTATTACTGATTGAATTAGCGTTATTCATCTTCTTATCATTTTCTATCTATATATAATAAAAGATCAAAATACTAACCTTGACGTTAGAAGTATCTTTCGGATTATTGACTTTTTCATTAGGCTTTTCCAATTTGTTAATATCTCCTTTGAACACTTCTCTCAAGATCTAATCATCTTCTCTCATTGATGATGTCCTTGAATCTTCTGTCATGTCTTGATTCTCCTCATCCAACTAGAAATGATCATCGAATGAATCTAGCTTGTTTCTTAAATTTTTTCTTCCTTAGAAAAACGTCTGTAGAACTATGAAATACACAAGTATCATAATGGCCACTGAAAATAATAAATCCAGCTATGCGTTTTCTTTTTCAGAAAATACACACAAAAATATATTTTGAACGAACAGGAATAACTCCAATGAATTGAAAGGTAGTGCGTCACTAGACTTTTCTGAGGACTAGTCGGCTTTACGTACTCCTGATAAACTGCTCTTCTTCAGATTGAACCAAGACTTAAATAATGATCTCTTTTTACCAAATATACTTTTCTTGTTGGCAGCTGACTGATTTTGATTAGGTAAGATATCCTTTTTACCATTTTCAATTTAAGTTTTGCTTTATTAAACATTGCTGTCTTCAAACCCGATATTTTCTGCATCATCTTCCATATTCATATTAAACTAAAATCCTTTACCTTAATTGAAAAATCCCATTGGGGTTGGTTCATCAGTAGAATCAGTGTATGTAGGACTAAGTAACTTTTTGTCGTTCATTAACTGAGCTTTGTTAGCGTATGATTAGAATTATCTGTCAATTAAGAACATGGGAATGCTGTGAGAGTTAAGATTACTTAACATCTTATTATTCTAATAGATCATGTAAGAGCTAATCTAGTTATTCTCATCATCCGAATCAACCACAATATTTTGCAAATTTAAGTTCTTAAAAAGCACCTATTTCTAGATTTGATTCTAGTTATTGCTTCCGTAATGACCACTTCCCGATGGTCCAGTACTACTTTAATGATTTAAACCTACAGAAACCTTAGCCTAGTTTCCACTCTTGCCTGTAGGCTTATTCTTAGAAGACTTTATCTTTGCACTATTTTTACTAGCTAAATTATGAACGTCATAAGATGAGTAGTTTTAAGGATGATGGTTTTAATATCTATCATTTATAATACTGGTTTCATTAGTAATTGATTAATCTACAAAAACATTATCGTCTCAAGTTTCATCGTAGTAGTGTTTGCTGAATAATGACTTAATGTAATCTTCTAAAGTTAACTTGGTATAGTAGATAATAACGATTGGGACAAGCACACAGAAAAATGTCTGATTTCTCAGAGACATCTATTTTGAGGAATTCAAAGAAATATTTTGTAATCCTTAATACAAAGTGAATAGAGTTAATAATGTCAGTCCAATGCTAAAAATCGCTGAAGTGCTAGTAAATGCAGCGCTTTCAAATGTTGCCACTGAAAGAGCTGGCAAATGAACAAATCCATCTAAGGAAGATAAGCCTGGCCCATATTTTGAGGATTGGAATTTTGATTTCTTGAGTCTTTATTAAGCCTAATTTCCCATCTACTGCTAATCTTGCTTTGTATTGCAACTCATTTTATTAAAACAAGAAAAATTATTATTGTTATTTATCTATAAATATTAGGCATTAATTCAAATACTGTCTAATGGGGTTTTGGGGTTTTGGGGTTTTGGGG